TCTGCAGCCTAATTATTAGAACACTCTTACTTAACTTAACCTCACCACTAGACCGTGACAGAGAGGGGGAGGGAGCAGGAACCAGAGCAGGAGGACAGATGAGGGAGGGAGGGAGAGACAGAAGGAGGGTTTTTTTCCCTGGGATGACAACGTTGATCTCCTTAACTCTTCACCTGCCGGAGATGAGCAACAATACTGCTTGAGAAAAGAAGAAGCCTAAAAACGTTTCTCTCCAACTCCAACCATTTTTCATTGTTCGGTAATAACAGATTTCCGTTATTATGATGTATACTGGTGCATTTGCCACTTCTGCTGCAACTGTTTCCCAAAGTTTTCAATACATCCAAAAGAAAAACACACACAAACATGCCACTGACATCTGCTCTGACAAAAAAAGAGGTAAAAAAAAAACAACAACTGTGTTTTAACAGCTGTCAGTGCACACTGCTCTTCAGAGCTTTTGAAAGGGAAAAGACGGCGGAATAACTATACACTCTGACAGATCTGTGCAGCCCAATCGAAAAACATGAAAACAAGAATCAATCACACAGACAGAGTAGGGAGTGAGGAGAAAGAGAGAGCAGGAGAATGAAAAAGAGACAGAGAAAGAGCACCGGCAAATAATTAAAGGCTCAAACCCAGTGGCTGACTGGCAACTACAAAGCCAGAGAGCGACAGGGAGACGCAATGCAAAAATAACTATGCTTGCTAACACAATGCATCTTGGCGCTACTGCTCAGGAGCCGTGTAAATTAGAGGACGAGTCCCCACCAGGTTTGCCACTGTAACAATATATCCTCGTGACTGATGCTCTGACGCGTTTGGGAGGACACAGGAGAATCTTTTAACATGTGTTGATGTGTGCTATAATCTGTGCTATATATCGACCCGAGCTGAAAGCATTTGAAGTTCAGAACGAGTGTGTGGAAGCTCCACGTGGAAGGACGGGTGGTCGGCGGCTCACTGCTGGGGTGGTGGGGGTTAAGCAAGGAGCTGCCAGCCACCCGGTTCCCCGTAAATCAGCGGGGATTTATGGAGACAGGCCCACATGGCTCACGGGCTGGTCACGTCAGGAAGGAAGCCCGTGTGGCTGCGCTCTGTTGTCTTAAGGATTTTTTCCCTTTTATTTCAGCTGCTCAGGAAGGCAGCTGAAGTCTGCGTTTCAGCTCACGGCACTGCTGATTGCTCATCCCCTGCCTTTTATTATTTTTTAGCTTTCTTTCATCTTGCTCTCCCTCATTCCTTGCCTTCTCTCCTTCTAAGACTACGTCTCACGTCTTATTTTTTCTGTGGCTCACACATTTTCCCTCTGGATGTGAAGCTGGGATAGCTGTCCTGGGTCAAGTTCACTGCTCAGCTCTGCCGTGCTAATGTGTGCAGGGAGAAGGCAAACAAACATGCTCCAGATGTAACACATTCACACTGGGAAATGAACACACACACAAATCAAATGCTAGAGACAAAATTCTATAGTGACTTATTTCTGCCAAATTAACACAGTTAGTCATTCTTAATAACGAATTATAATAATTAAAGATCCAATTAATATTAGATCATAGGACCCATTGGACTATAATCATTTTTTTTCATATATTATTTGATATAACTGAAAAATGTAAGGAAAATTAAATAAAATAAACAAATCATGTAACACATTCTATATATACACACAAAACAGGGTCACAGGGGGAAATATTTTTGTGTATAAATATAGCTGCTTTGGCAATAGTATATGTAAAACAATCATGCAAATACAATATAGTCATTTCAAATGTAATTGAAATACATGAATATTTATTAGTGCTGTCAAATGATTAATCGTGATTAATCGCATCCAAAGTAAAAATTTTTGTTTACATAATACTGTATATGTGTCAATACTGTGTATATTTATTATGTATATATAAATACAAACACATGCATGTGTATATATTTAAGAAAAATATGTTGTTTATATATTAAATATATTTTGATATAATATAAAGAATATATAATATATAAGAATATAAATATATAAATTTATAGACATGTCAATATTTTCAAAAGATATACTGTATGTGTGTGTATTTATATATCCATAATAAATATACACAGTACACATACATATACTACGTAAACAAAAACTTTTATTTCGGATGCGATTAATCGTTTGACAGCACTAATATATAAATTAAATTGCCATTTTTGTTGTTCAGATTTTTTTTTATTTAACATTTTATATTAAAAATTATATATACAAAAAACAACGTAACCAGATTTTATTTGTATATGTATAGAGGCACTGGCAATATGTAAAACAATCACTGCAATACTATGCAGTACTTTCAAGTGTAAATTAGTGAGAAATATGGTTAAAAATAGTTTTTGGACACATTCCATTCACATTTTTTTCTCCTTTCCATTCAAAAATAATGAAAATGTCATGCTGTGAAGCTCTAGATGTGACATGTTGTAACTCTTGAGGAACTCTATCTGCAGGAATTGTCATGATAGGACTGTATCTTGCCGAGGTTTCCCGCTCACTAGCATAGAGGCTAAGAATCACACCGGCTGCAGTACAGTGCAGATTTGGGGCTTAATGCCCAGAGAGAGGACAGGGCTCCTGAAGTGACAGCCAGTAGCACGGTAGCCAGTCAAGAGGAACCCAATTTAAGTCTCTTCTACAACATTGCTGGAAATTCAATTGCATTAGAGCCCTTGGTGGGCCTAAGGTTTAATCTAATTAGATTCAGCTTCAAAAGAGAGGAGGAGAAGGAGAGAGGCAGAAAGTGAAAAGTCAAAACTGTCTCCCACTCTCCAAATCATTGTATTTTAAAACTCTCTCTGTGTTTTTTCTCCACAGAGAGAAGGCTGAGGCTTTCCTATCCCTTCCGCCACCCTAATCCCCTCTCATTTCAGCAAGAGAAGCTGCTGCTCTCATCTGATAGTATGAATGTCAGATTACAGTCCATTGAGGGACTTGGATTATACCTGGATTGGCCCTCGAGAGCCGCTATCTGCGCTTAATCTGAGCCGAGGGTGAAGGTGTTATAATCCCTCTAGCCGAACGGACCGGCACTGTATCGCTGCTTCCTGTGCTGCTGCCGGTTCAAAAGCGCTACGGAGGATTTCTTAGAGAGTGCTCTCAAACGAGACCCCCTCAGAGGAGAAATTCTAGACGAGATACTGGACATAGTTTCTTCTAGTCTGTCTCTCTTCCTCCCTCACATTCCTGCTTTCCTCTCTCATTTCTTGTTAGTTGTCATTCACGCTCCTCCCAGCCTGCGTGCTGCTGTTTTTATCGGATCAGTCTCAGCTCGCTGCCCTTGTCTCTCATCTGTTCCATCAAGGGTGCTTCCATCTCTTTCTCTCTTTCTGTATCCCTCTCTCGCTCTTTACCCTGCTGTTGGGCCTCCCTGTTGCACTACTATAGCTCTCCCAAAAAGAGTGAATGGGAGGGAAAGAATTTGAAATTTGTAAAAAAAAAAAAAAAAAAATTGGATTTGAGTGAGAGTGCACACAAAAAAAATGAGGACAAATGCTATAACGGACAGTGCTTCTGAGAGAGAGAGGAATTTAAAAAAGAAAGCTCTGCAGACAGAGGCATAAACCAATAAACAGACAAGAAAGCCAGATAAAATGAACAGGAAAAAGGTCCCATTTAATATATAACATAAGTTAATGGAGCATTATATTATTTTACAGCATTTATTAATCTTTGTTAATGTTAGTTAATAAAAATACAATTAGTTCATAGTGCCTTAACTAATGTTAATTCAGCTTTTGATTTAAAAAATGTATTAGTTAATGTCACATCAAGTAATACTAATAAATGCTGTTGAAGAATTGTTCATTTTTAGTTCAAGTCAATTAATGTAGTTAAGTATTAGAAAACATGGAACTTTACAGAAAAGAGTTACCAGAAAACAGAGAACAAATACAAACAAAAAATAAATAAATAAGGTAAAATAAAATAAAAATAGTTGGCACCTAGGAAGACCTGCAACAGCATTTACAATCTCTGAATTTACTAAAAAAATACACTTATTTGTGTGTTTAGTAATTATTGTTAAATCATTTTAATAATAATTTTAAAATTAATTTCATTAATGTGTGTCTCATAACATAACAAATATTCTTCTCAAATCAGATTTATTTAGAAAAACAATTACTTCTTTTTACTAGTAAATATCTTGAGAATGAAAGCGGATAAGAAAGAGATTGTAGAACTCTGTGTGTGTACCTATGTTTTCACTGAGACTTATAATGTATTTGAGTAAGAGTGGTCAGGTTAGATTACTACAGTAATACCACTGGGCTTCCATTCAGCAGAGGTCTTATGAATCTGTGCACACATTTCACATTTCCTCACCTCCCAAACGCACACATACACACTCATTCACACACACTCACGCCCAAGAGAAACCTCCATTTCATTTATGAGTTTTATCTGTGGAATTTATCTGCTCTGTAAGACCGGTAGGGCACACTCTCTAAACATTCCCCAGCAGTTTGACTTGTGAAGCGGGACACACTTTCTACATTATAGGGATAACATATCACGACAAGAAATGTATTAAGTTAAGCACTGTTACACACACTCATATATATATTAAATGAACTTTTCCATGACATTCTAATTTATTGAGATGCACCTGTATATATTCATTGCTCTTTGGATTAATTTAAATGGTTATCTTTATTGGTTATCTTCAACTGTTTTTTTAATCAGTTCATTATTTTAAATGTTTTTCTAAAATCACTTTAGATTATTTTAGTTTAATTAACTATAAGTCCAACCTATTATATGTTTACATAAAAAGAGACAGCAAAATAATCAATATGTGAAACAAAACAAAATTTCTCAAACAAATGTGTGTTAGTGTGGCCCCACAAAAAATCCATTTTGTGATCTAAAAGTAGTAGTAGACTCTTAAGTATTTTAGTTATTTGTACAGATGTAACAGAGTAAGTGGACAGTAATAGTGTACTTCATTTGAAAAAAAAAAGAGTGTACTCACAGCGTTCAATGCGATCCTCCGGACTGGACGAGGTTTCTCGGTCTGACAGCAGGCCTGACACTGCGAAGATCTTCTTCCCTGCATCTTCCACGGCTTTGAGAGCACTAGGCGAGCTGGAGGGGATCTGAGCACCGCCAAAGTCATACTCTTTCCCTTCTGCGTCCGAGTAGCGCAGGTGCGGCGAGGCCTCGGCCTCCAGGCAGCCCTTTAGCCGCTTGGCTGGGGTGAAGGCGGACTGGTATCCACCTCCCACTCCATCACGGTCCTCCAGAGGAGAAGCGAAGGGCCGGAAGGCCCCAACGCCGCTGTGGTTGAGCATGCTTATGGGGGAGCAGTCCAGATTTGGTGGGGCAAACTGATGATGGAGGTGTAGGAGGGAAGGAGGGAAGTCCCTGTTTGGGAAGCCTGGTGGTACAGCGCCCTGCCGGTGGTACATGGAGGCAAACGTGTAGGAACCATTGTTGAAGGGGAGGTGAATGTCCTTCTCCACAGAAACTGGCACGCCGAAAGGGCGAGGCTGCTGGCAGGGGATGGAGGCATCACGGCTGGCCTCCGCCGTTGATGCTAGCACCATTAGTGCCGGGGATGCTAACGGGTTGGGCAGGTAGGAGGAGCTCTCCATTTTAAAAGCTGCCCGGTGCAAGTCCATTTTGGAGACTGGGCTGTGGTTGGGCGGAGGGGGGGTTAGGGGCGAGAGCAGAGGGGTATAGGGGAGGGGTGGAGAGAAGAGAGACGGGGTAAACGGTATGGGCAGAATGGTGCAAACTTTTGCGCTGTCGACTCTCTGGCAGAAACGTCGGTCACTCTCACTGGCGGCTCATCCTCGACGGTCCTCCACCTGAAGAAAGTTGAACAGAGGAGGAGTTAAACCACTTAAAACACTCTGAAACTCTTGCCTACTTTTCCCTTTCCGAAATAGAAAGTTTCCCCCCGCAGATCTGAGGTTCAGATCACATATAAGCCTCTTACTCCATCTCCCTGTCTGTGGAGCAGAACGGCGTCTGAGGCAGATAAGAGCCGTGCGCTGATCAGATAAGAGCGCGGCCCTGCTCGTGTGAACACCCTGGTCCTCTGCCTCCGATGGGATTCTCATACTGATATCATATCAGCCTGCCATCTGCACAGGAAATTTGAATGAATGAATAAATTAGCCGCACTTCACCCTTTGACCCCTGCTGCAGCCAAACAGCCTGAGAAGAAGCCCTGGAGGATAACATTCACTGATTGGCAAAAGTGTGAGTGGGTTTAATGAGAAGCGTTTTAGTGTCTATTTGTGTGCGTGTGCGTCTGTCCGTCATCGCCAATCCCTTGAGGGTGACCCGAAAGTGATCTATTACAAGTTAAATGGACATTTAACATACACGAAATTCAGAAATTATTGTACTGCTCAAACTGCTCCCTCAAATCAAAACTACTCAAAATTACTCTGTTTAACAGCATTAAAATTCTGTCTTTTGATCATAATCCATTATTGAAAAGGGGTTAAAATGGGTATAAAAGGATTACTTTTTGATTTTGAATATTAGTTATTTGAGGACATAAAAGTGAACTACACTACTGTTCAAAAGTTTGAGGTCAATAAATTTTTTATTATAATAGTTTTATTCAGCAAGCACGCATTAATCTAATTAAAACTGACATCAAAGTCATGTATAATGTCGCAAAAGATTTCTATTTCAAATAAATGCTGGTCTTTTGAACTTTCTATTATTTAAAAAAATCTGGGAAAAATGTATCATGGTTTACACAAAAATATTAAGTAATATTTTCAACATTAATAATAACAAGAAATGTTTGTTGAGAAGCAAATCAGCATATTAAAATAATTTTTTAAGGATCACGTGACACTGAAAACTGGAGTAATGGCAGATAAAAATTCAGCTTGAAAAAAATGCCATCATAGGTATAAAATACATTTTAAAATACAGCAAAATAGAAAACAGTTACTTTAAATTGTAATAATATTTCACAACATTTAAAAAAATAATTATTTTTGATTTAATAAATGCAGCCTTGGTGAGCATAAGAATCTTCTTTTATAAACATTTTTTTTTTTAACTTATACTAACCGCGAACTTTTAAACAGTAATGCACGTTGTGAGATGTCACGTGTGTGTACGGAAAACAGAATTTAATCTGTGCATCTGGAGAGCAGGTTCTCTTATTCAGAGTAATTCAAATAGATGGGCCTTTAGACTTGTGTCACGGTGAGGCCATTTCAAATGTCACACAGAATATCAAACTGCATCAAAGAAACTCCTGGGGAATTTATCAGGGCATTTTTACATATATCAGCTGTCCAGAACACTCATTCGAATCAATTTTAAAACTCGATCTCCACACACACACTCTGCGGCCCAGTAAAAAGAGCTTTACATTATCACATACATGGCAGGGGAATGTGTGCCGTTTCCTGTCTGTTGAAAATGGGTTACACTACACCGCTTGATGCTGGCGAGAAGCCCAAGAATCGCATTACGTTCCATCTTCTCACTCGGCCTAGCTGGGAAAATAGCACCTTGAAAATTTACCAATATCAAAAGCCCCCTCTTTTTTTCCACTCTCACACTCATCAGGGCCTCGTCTCTGTATCGAATCTCTCCCCTCGGATAACCTCTAAAAAATGAGTGCGGGTGGGTGTTGATAGCAAGGTAATACAGTGATAAGTACCTGGATATTTCAATTTTATTATCATTACCATCAGCGCAGTCAGGCAGTGTGAAACTGACAATCCAATAAAAGGACACAGGATATCCCCCCAATGGCGCACCAGAGAGAGAGAAAGAGGGGGCATGACTAGGCTGAGTGTTGTACAGATGTGCTAATCATTTCTGTGGCTGCGGCCGGTCTGCCTGGTGCCCCAGCTACACACACGCACAAAAGCATGCACAAACTGAGAGCCCAGTGTCCCAGAGCAACCAAAGAGAGCAGTGAGTCAGCCTGACACACACTGACACGCCAAAGAGTGAGTGTGTGTGTGTGTGAGAGAGAGAGAGAGAGAGAGAGTGAGAAACAGAGACAGCGAAAGAGAGCGAGAGAGGTCGAAAGGGGGGTACATGACCGCAATGTCCACCACAACTCTTGTCACGCTTCTTTACCTCCGTCTATCAATCTTCATGCGAAAAATCCAAGATTCAAGAAACCATCTTAAATGAGGCAAACTCAAATCCATTACAAAGTGCTCAACATTGTAATTCATCTCTGTATTGCAAGGATTATTAAAAAACAGACTTGAATGACAAAGCAAAAAAGCTAGTGTTGACATAAAATAACTACAGAGACTAAATGAAACCAGTAAAAATAAATACATGTTATTAGTTTTACATTTAATTTAATAGAAATAATAATTAATCCCCCTAGGAACTTATATTTAAGTTTCATTATGTTTTATTTGTCACAAGTTAAAAATTGAGATTGATTATCCGGGGAAAAAATAAATAAATCTGTCATTGTTAAAGTGATCCAGCATAAGCATTGCGTTTCCTTTTCAAATTACATTGTTATGATATTGCAGTGTCAGTTGCCGTGATGAGCTATGTGTCTCTCTCAGAAAGTTAGTGATGTAAGAAAAGAGAAAGGGTACAACAAAGACAAATAAGAAGTTGTCAACGACACATTTTCTCGGCACAGCTCTGGGGAGCAGAGCAAATGAATCCAATTTCATCTACAACAAACGACTGTCAAATTTGACTGCTGAGAGAAAATGCAAAAGTTTCGGCGGAGGGTGTCACTCAAACCGCAGCTCCTGCTCCTCTGCCTGTCTGTCAGTATATTTAGAGATTGTTGACAACCGTGAAAGTGCCACTCTTACATTTTATTACAGGACAGGGCAGACACTGTCATCCAATACCCTTGGAAAACACACACATTCAAACCCACACATCTGAAAACTGTCTGAGCTACACACCAGAAGACAAAAACGGCAACAGTTACAAGAATGCGGACGACGAAGGGATTTCATGCTAATTGCTGGTCCAAATTAAGCCATGCCAACGATTTCTCACGCTTTTTTAACTTTCACTGAGCAGCTTCCAGCTGTGTCAAAAAATATGATGTGGTGTGAAGGCTGTTATGTGTGCAGCTGCTAAAATGGAGAGCCCTCAAACGACGTCGCAGGAAATGACACTGGCGCAGTACGAAGCACATTTTAACTACTTTGCTCTTGAAAACTTCCCAAACGCCTTTGTCTGAAGGGTATCAGCAGCACTCTAGCACTCGTTACAATTTTTAATCACCCTGGAGGGTAAACTTATGTTTATCCACAACAGACTTCTTAAGCATCCACTCGAAATGGCTGCCGCCACCGACACAAACACGCCACTCCAGTCTCCCCTCGGCTTGTCAATCAGGGAAGCGGCGTTATATATTTGCGGTTAGGAGGGTAAAAGGTGCCGCGCGGAACGCCCAGGCCACACTTGCTCGGCAGAGGACGGCTCACTTAGTATTCCGCAAGCAAGCGCTTTTGGACCGGAGGACAGTCGATATTATTGAAAATACAGTCATTCACCGTCGGCTGGCCTGCAACTTAGGACCACGCAGATAATATATCCTGCTGAATTAGAATCAAAGCCCTCGTGATATGAAATCTTCCTCTGAACAATTCAATAATGTGCAGCAGCTGCGGTATGAGACATAAAAAAATGAACGCCCGCATCCGGAAGACGTGAAAGTGAGATTTAATGACAGACTGAGAATGCAGTGAAGGATAATGACACTTGGACATACAGCTAACTAAATCAATAATGATAGTACAAGCTGTGTCTCAACACTCCAGTTCACTATCAACAAATAAATTCCCCCCAGTGTATGACACACAATAAAACCCAGCAATAAATAGTGGTAATCAATCACTGCTTTATTGGATCTTATCGCCTGCATAAGTATACCAAGGGCCTGCCTCTAAACTTTCGCAACTTTTTTTTTCCCCCAGACAAAATTTGCACGATTTACTCTAGGCGTAGAAAACGTGCCACTCGGCATGAGCTGTCAGAATAAGTGAGGATTTGCTTTTCAAATAAAGCTTTGCGGCAGGCACCGGGGAACATTGATTCATTGTGAACAAAATGATTTTCAAAGTTTCCTGTCCTGCCTGCCCTATTCATTTCAGGGGCTGATGGACTGTTTGTCTCATCCCACCCACCTGAGCCAACTAATTCCTCACTAAGCCCAGATTATTTGCAAGGTGTCTGGATCCTCTGTGCTCAGAGCCTGGACTGGACTGCAAAGAAGCCGAGGCGACAGCAACCCACCCACCCACCTCACCGCCCTTACAGCTGTCCACTGCTGCCCGCCACTGTGTACCGAGACAGAGCAAGAGAGAGAGAGAAAGAGAAAGAGGAAGAGGAAGAGAAAGAGGAAGAGAAAGAGATATTTTACACTGTTTTGATTTTGCCTAGTTTGAGCACACTGTTTGCCAACCAGGGGCTCGTCAATAATAGATAACTAAGCACAATGCAAGAGCAGTCTGCCACTAAACCGCCTGAACATGTTGGCTGGCCTGTCTTATAAAACACAAGATTAATTTAACTAGCACGGTTGGCCTCTTATTCCAAGTTCAGTTCCACAACATTTTCCACCGAGTTAGAAAACAGAATCAATTAACTTGTGCAAAAAAATGCTTTTTCTCGCTGTAAGAATAAAACACAATAACTAATGTAAAAGGCATTTATATGCATTTCTAAACTGGTGGGAAGAGCTGTGTCTCACTCCTAGACTAATGTTCAGTGGGAAGATACCAAGCGGCATTCAGACAAGCAGAGAGATATAGGACTCTTATTGATCCCAGGCAAATGCACTGGCAATGCCTTGTGAGAGAGGGTGTAAAATTAACTTATTCTACAGCTCTAAAACTCACATCTAAATAATGGACAGCTAGGTAAATCAAAAAAGCACAAACTACAAAAACTAGCATAGTCAATGAATCTTCAGTCAGCTCAGCTCTAACAGAAATCTCTATGACTTTAACATGCAGTTTTGTTTGTTTGCCATAAGTTTTATATTTATTCACACAGGACTTGTTTGTTGCACTATTATATATATACACCATATATATATATATATTTAAATTGTAAAAATTTAAAATCTGTGTTATTTGAAAGAGTGCACGCACAGCCAACGCCCCGTTGAGTGTCACCGCAATGACTGAGACAAAATAAATACAGTTTATCATAAGATCAATGCGCGGCAATTTATTCTAATTAAATTATCGTTAATGTAGTAGTTATCTATTTAATTTAGTAATTTAATAATTCATATAAGTTAAAAAAAAACATGATAAAAACATCAGCAATGAGCAAAACTGTAAGCATTAAAAGCAATTAAATATAAATAAAAACCACAATATCTTAACTCTTAATAAGAAAGAAGTTATACATAGTTACAGCATACAATCTAGTAAAAGAGGACGAAAGCGATAACCAGTGTTCAAAAAAAAAACTTCGAGCAGCAGCAGATTTTATTCAAAGGCTTTGCTGCGGTTGGGGCGCTTTACCTAACAAACAAAGTATCTCATTCACCATAAAATTTCAAATGTTCCGCCTCGGCACTAAATAAAAAGGTACATGAATAGGCGTGTCTGCACGTTTCGAAACATAATGGAAGGGGACATGGTGAAGTTAGGCAATCCAAGGACTACACCTGATTATTTTCATCTTTATACAACCGTCCAAAAGGCTTGTCACGCACGCGCATCTGAAATATTTCTCGACAAATTCAAAAGAATCCTTTAAGGACCACGACCTTCCCCTGTGCTCAAACTGTGGTATTATTTGTAGATTCTTTTAATTACCATGCCATGCCACCATCTGCATGACAAATGAGCTTTCTGTGAAGTGTTTATTAGCACGTGAAAACATAAACATGCACGAGGGCGGGTGGGTACGAGTTAACGGGGTTAATTCTAGTTTAATTCGTTGGGAAACAGCACGCTTGTCGATAACATGGAATAGACAAAAGGCCAATCAAGCCGCTGCATTTGAGAAATGCGTGCTTCATTTACTTTCAGTGCGCGGTTTCGGATGGAATTTTCTTATGAATCCAGACCAGAAAGACTTTCTCGGTCACATATTATTGTAAGTTAGAGCCGCAGAACTTCTTACTGTCGCCATCCTCGCTGTCTGTGGGGAAGGATGCTCTCCTTTCCTTCTAATTGTTAACAAGAATGAAAACGTTTGATTGCGCTTGCTCTTTTTTAATGCTCCAAATCCAGATTAAAATAACTCTGGCCATTGATCCGGCCACTGGAATCGACATTAATTTTAGTTCACTTCTCACTTTGCACGGGGATCAATGAGAAGCAATAACAACTGACATCGGCGCTGAAAAGGACAGAACAGAAAACGCAGGGCTGAAAATCGAAACAATCATCTGCTACTTTTCTTCCATCTTTGCATCTACTTTTCTTCCATCCTGCTGTCTCATTGGGACTCGAACCGAACTATTGTGTTAAATAACTCGGGGCAAATAAATAAATAAACTCACACGTTTATGGGATCAAAACTTTAAATCAGCTAGAATGAATAGAAACGCGATGTTGAAGTTGTGGACGCAGGAGCGCAACAGGGTGCAGTGATTTAATTCGGTTAATTTGCTTTTATTCATAATTTTTGATTAAAAACGGATTAAAATACAAATACAAATCAATTTGAGACTATTTAAGAAATCTAAATGTTTCAAAAGATGTTTTGCATAATCCTCCGTGTATAATTAGAATGAAAATTAATTTAAAAATCATTCAAATGAACACTGAAGTCAATATAGTGGATTTCACAAGGCTCCGTATCTCATTGTCCCTTACTTATATTTATCATATACTCTAATTTAACATTCTCAAGTGATTTTGGCCCTGCTCGTTTCAGTACAAATATCAATTAACACACTTATCTGAAAAGACACTGTAATCTTTGAGGACCATAATTTCATTATGTAATGCTATTTCCGAGATCCAAAAACATAAACATGATGCTATTATTTAAATATCTATGTAATCATCAAACACGGCCAAATGAATGAATAATAAAGATTTATGACTAAAAATCTACAATTAAATATCGAGCAAATTAAGCGTGTAATGGTGAAAAATGATTCGGCCAGTATAATGAAAGCGTGTAAATAAAGCGCATTCCTGTCCTGCAGGCTATAGCCTTTTAAAAATAAACAACGAATAAAATCATTTAATATAGATTTGGGAGTACCAGATATTGTTTTTTGTTGTTTTTGTAAATATAAAATATAAATGTATAAATAATAAACCGAGTCAATTGAAATATAGGCTATTCACAGTTGTAAAGTGCAAAATAGTTTCATATTTACTGCACAAGGCCGTTAAATAATACTGGAATAAAATAATGAGCTAATAAACTCCCTCTTACAAATGAAAATTCACAAATGAAATATGTTAAATTAATGAGGCTATTTACTTAACAACGAATGCATTCTGTCACCCTAAATATAAATAATTGATGTGACTGTGAAGAAGAAAAAGACTAAGGAGAATTACAGGCTGTTTAGACGTGTAGCTCTGTCCTAGCACTGAAAATATTAAATAGATTAAACAGACCTATTAATGTAAACAAACTATTACGCAAAAATGCTCCTTTTAAGTTGTAGAATTGAAGACAAGTGTTTGTTTGCTTTTCTAAAATGTATTTTTGTTGTTAAAAATAGATTAAAAACAATGCTGTTGTTAAAAAACAAGCTACAAACAATGCGTTAGTAGAATTATTCAAATGACTGCAAACTGCAAATAATCAAAAATAATAATCTAAGCAAGCAACGCGAGAATGTTTTTTTTTTTTACATTGTGGAGAATATACATTAAAAGAATAAGTCGTAGAGAACAAGTCTTAGTCTGAGAGCTCTGCTCAGAATTCTCCTTGGAAATTCTATTAACAGCTCACGAGCACAGCGGAAACACTCCCGTCTGTGTTGAGTAAATTGTAGTGACCCATAGTAAACAGGTGTTTCCTTGCACCTTGTTTCCTTACTGAACGGATTCGATCCCGTTATAAATGCTATCCAACTAACTGCTCCGAGTAGGCCTATAGTTTTCTTATTTAACAACCATTGTGGACAGATTCATTTCAAACTAAACATTTCTTTTTCAATTAACACACATGCGCACTTACAGAGAACAACGATAAAGAGTGCAACGCAGGCCAACAGTCTATTGTGGCTTGAGAACCAAATATAAATTATCCGCAACATTGGTCTCGAGCGCATTAATTCCCGTTCTGATTACAGACTCTAAATGGAGAGGACTATAAATGGAACAGTAAAATCTTCACTCATAGGAGCAGTTCTCACGTCCACTATACCAGTCACAAATTAGTTGGGAGCATAACTGAACTACTCAAGCAGCTGGTTTAAAGGCTCGGTCTGCACTGATAACGTTTAGTTATTAAAGATTAACCCACTAAACATCACACACAAGCATGTTATACTCGTGGGTGGCCGCAGACACGCGCACATCATTACGGGTCTCACTATAACAAGTTCCCCTTTAGTTCCATCAACCAAAAACACTAGTATTTCATCGACCTGTCTAATTTCCCACGACACTAGAAAGCGCTTGTGCAAGAGAGCAACTAGAAAATGAGAGTTTATATGAACCGGCATTTTTGAAACGTTACGCCGTGATAAACAAGATTGTTTATGGGTCCTAATGATTTATTTGTTAATAATATGTAGACATCTTTTAGGCGTAATAAGTGTTTCTCACATTCTCAGAAGTATGGCATTCCAGTCAGTTAGCCAGAGGTCAATTTCTGCAAACTTTAACACCAGGAACTGATGTTAAAGTCGAAGCAAAGTTAGCTGCTGAAATGTTTTAGGAGTTCAGTAACACTTCCACAATAAAAGCGAAGGTGCTCCATAAAGAGTCACTAAAGTTATTGTCGCAATCAAGCCATTACGCGCGAGCGAAACATGGTATCTGATAGGAGATCTATTGATATGAAATAATAAAGTTGCGCATCATCACCTTAACTTAATTTCCACACAACAAAACGCAAACAACAAGAAGAAGAAATGCCGTGCTATCCCGGAGCAAGACACAGCCACGTTAGGGTGCGTTAAATCAGGCTCGAGGTCACTCATTAAACAGTCAGGTAAAACTAGATTTCTTCACAGAAACAACATTAGACGCGTTCCCACGGGGTCATAAAAACAATCGCTGTCAAGACATTCAGAGCACTTACGTTGTTTAAAAAAATCCCTTGGAAGATTTAGCTGTCCTTTTATCCCCACAACTGAAACTTTTCGAAACAGGCGAGCGAAGATCACCGCGAAGCATGAGAAGCAAAGTAGAGTCGCACCTCGAGGAAAGAACGCGAGACGGTCGCCGCGCGTCAGACAGTTCCCCGGGTCGTGTCGTGCGTTGAGAGTAGAATCAGTTGCATGTACCGATGAGAACGAGTCTGCGTTCAGTAGCAAAGTAGAGACGATAGGCAGAGATTTGCTCAGAGGTGGAAACAGTGTTGGAGGTGCAGTGCTGCCGCTCAGCGCCAGGTTCGCTCATTGACTGACATTCATTCTCTCCTCCTCGAGCGCTGAGGACCCTGACCCCCCTTCTCCACGCTCCCGTGGGGGATCTCAGAGGCTGTTTTGTGAGCACGGAATGAATTATCGTCTCTCCTCGCCATTTAGAAGACCTGGAAAATGAAGTCCACGGCAAAACAAAAGATGTTTTAACAACGCGCCAGGTCTTTACAGAAATAGGTAAGTGTGCAGCGTCCCATCGCGCGCACCGGGTTGCTCGCGAGTTTATCTTCAGCTATGTTTAGTCCATATAAGTGTTTTTACATGCTGTAAAAAATTATTCTAGTCTTCTTGTTGCTTATTCTTGCACATACCTGCTACTGAAGTTGAATAAGTACGACGAGTTCCTCTTGAGAACATTTGTCAGTCTGCAAAAAAGCGGAAAACATGCGTTTTACTCGTTTATGTTTTTTTAAATTAAACAAAATGAAAGCGAACACACATAAGCTGCTGTGATATTATTTCTACAGCTTTACTTAAACTAAATAACAGTATATTAGTAAACATGTTCAAACAGTAACAGACTCATATGATTCGACACCACGCAGAAATCCACCTGCTGGACGGAGCTGGAATTACACTTTGATTCAGCTCACTGTTTTGTGAGCACGGAATGAATTATCGTCTCTCCTCGCCATTTAGAAGACCTGGAAAATGAAGTCCACGGCAAAACACAAGATGTTTTAACAACGCGCCAGGTCTTTACAGAAATAGGTAAGTGTGCAGCGTCCCATCGCGCGCACCGGGTTGCTCGCGAGTTTATCTTCAGCTATGTTTAGTCCATATAAGTGTTTTTACATGCTGTAAAAAATTATTCTAGTCTTCTTGTTGCGTATTCTTGCACATACCTGCTACTGAAGTTGAATAAGTACGACGAGTTCCTCTTGAGAACATTTGTCAGTCTGCAAAAAAGCGGAAAACATGCGTTTTACTCGTTTATGTTTTTTTTTTAATTAAACAAAATGAAAGCGAACACACATAAGCTGCTGTGATATTATTTCTACAGCTTTACTTAAACTAAATGACAGTATATTAGTAAACATGTTCAAACAGTAACAGACTCATATGATTCGACACCACGCAGAAATCCACCTGCTGGACGGAGCTGGAATTACACTTTGATTCAGCTCAGGGTAGAGAGAGCTAATATAATGCGCAAGTTTACAAATGTCTCGCTTTGTAAATAATGCCGTATTTTATTTCATTTTTTATAAGAAGTCAGTAAAGCAAGTTTGTTGTGTGTTCCCAGACCAGAGTAATAGGAGGGACTGCAATGTTGGGGTGATGGGAGGGCAGTAGCCATACATATGTGCATTACTGCATTACATTAGCACTCTCTTGTATTGCTAATGACCTCCGTTAAAGCATCAGTGAAACAGAGGAGGAAAAAGCCCATCCATGTCCAAGGTCCCTTTCCATTCAAAATCAAATTTCAGGCCTCAGTCTCTTAACATGTCTCTAAATGGACTGGTGTGGATTGGTGAAGTGCTTTGATGACAGCTCTTTTTACCAGGCTTAAGCACAAATCCTCTCCTCCATTTCCAGAGCCCCTTGATTCGATTGAAATTATTTTACATTCTCTCTGGACTGTATCAAATAACAAAACATATTACTATGACTTGATTGAATCCATTACAAGCAAAGCTGGGACATTTATAAATCTACACTTCAGTCGATATAAAAGTTGAGGTAGCCAGAGGGCTTCATCCGAGTGTAAATGATCCGCTTTCTATTTATGATATAGAGGCATCCTACTTTCAGTGACCAATGCAGAAAATGTTTGAACTTAGATAAAAGATATTAACAGCTTAATCAAGTGTTTTTGTTTTCAAATATACTTAATGTTGTTAATCTGGCCTGATAAATGCTCTTTTTATTGCTTTCAGTTCTCGTTTGTCATTCTTGCCACGTCCATGTGAACACAGAAGAGGAGTAAAAATCATCACCGTTCAAAAGGGAAGTTAAACATCACACGTTAATTTAATGTTGAGTGATTTTGACTTCTCAGATGTCCCTTTAATGCAGAGCACAGTCGTAATTGAGGGACCCGTGTTGAGGCAGGGTGGCCGCGGTAATAACAGAGACATCTCTTCAACACACCAGTCAGGTCTTAATTATTACCTTTACAACTGTGGTCGCAGTGAAACGGGTACCAGAGGACCTATAGCGAGATGTCCCGCACAATGGAGCCTCGGCACAGATTCCTCATTAGCATATGTCAGCCATGTGCTTCAGATGGCTATTCATTTCTGTCACTTAGCACTTGGAAGTGCTCATGCTAAGAGCTGGTAAATTAAATGCTGTATTCCTGGACTGTAACCTAAGATTACGCTGTTGTCACTGAGCCTGTCTCCGCGAGTAGATTACTTTTTAAAAAATAAATTTAAAAAAGGACAAAAAAAGGAATGTAATGGACAAGCGAAATGGGGCTGCTGTAGAAATGACTGACAGTTACAATATGAATGAACTTTTCTTTTCACCTGACAAAAACAAACGTTACACCCAGTCTGATATGAAAATTAAAGGGATAGTTCACTCAAAAATGCAAATTTTGTCATTGTTTACTCACCCTCATGTCATTCCAAACCTATATGACTGACTGATTTCTGTGAAATACAAAATAAGATATTTTAAAGAACACTGGGGTCCAATGTTTTTTACTTTCATTATATGAACAAAAACATTTTCAAAATAACTTTTTTCACTTTCGGGTGAACTATCCCTTTAAACACCCTGCAGTAGATACAAGTATAAATAGGATTCAGAAATTAGATGTTTTACCCAGTCTGATATGAAATTTAAGGGGATAGTTCACCAAAAAAGAAAATTCTGTAATCATTTACTCACCTTTATGTTGTTCCAAACCTGTATGGCTTTCTTCTATCAAAGATAAAAGAAGACATTTTAATATCTTCTAATAGTTTTTTTTAATCTTTCATCGTATGAACAAAAAACATTAAGATATTCCTCAAAATATCTTCTTTTTTATTTTAATTTTTTTGGTGGAATAGCCCTTTAAACACTTCTAAGTAGAAACGAGTATAAATTAGAAGCAAAGATAGAAATGGCAGATGAATATGCCACACTGAGATTCCTGCAAAAAACAGTCATTACATTTGTCTTTCACTCTTTTTCTCAACCATTTCCTGTACTCTAGGTGTCAAGAAGATTCACCCCACCAAGAAAACTGATGCGGGCCGCTTGGCTTTTTAAAAAATCAAAATTACACAAGGCCTCTCTTCTTATCTAAATCTGAACCCGAGGACACCCATCACTCTCAATGGATCTATTGCGACGACTCTATACACACATGCACAAACACACACAAAAGAACAGAGAGAGTGAAAGACAGAGGGGGAGAGCGAGCGCGTAAGCATTCATACTGTAGACAGTGCTACATGATCAAAGGCGACGTGGAGAGAAGGGGAAACGAGAGCTCTAAAAATGGTTCTGCAGCTGATTCTGTGAGTAGAGTCGCACACTCTCTCCAAATACACACACACACACACACACGCACGCTCGGCACTTTCATATTTAACTAAAGGCAGGGCCCGGCGTGTGTCAAACTCCAACAGGGGGACACGCAGCTTACGCTCGTTTGAGGAGCGGAGGCTTTGTTTCCTCTTGGTGGTGTGGCACCGAGTACCTGGGGGGTGAGAGATTGTTTCTCAGGAAACAGCATCAGGTATGAAGGGAAAGTGAGACAACACAAGCAGGAAAACCCGATTGCTCTCAAGTTTCTCAGAGACTCCGCTCCAGAATATGGTGCTATAACTCCCCTACATAAAATCAATGATTTGTTTAATTTAGACAGAGCTCGTAAAAGTGCTAATTTCAGAGACAGCCTACAAATCTAGAGGGCCCTGTTATCCCATTTGCTGCTCCATTAGTTGGGAAATGATACAGCCCAGCGTTGTTAAGAAACTGAACGTTCGGTCTGGCCATTCAATGAAGGAAATAAGTGACGTTGCTCTGATTGTCAATGAAAAAACAGAATGCACACCAGCTGATGTCATAAACATGAATTTACATCAGATGACTGTTTATTAAAAAGACAGCAAGTTCATATATTTCCATACAGGCCTGGCTGTGATCTCTATAATACTATACTGAAAATAGTTTGGTGTAGGATTTACTTAACAATTTTCACTTAGAAATTGCGGTAATACCTTACTTAAAGCCTTTATGTATAATGCATTATAAAAGTAGTTTAATGCATTAATTATGCCTTGTAATGTACCTTATAATGCATTGTACAATCTTATGACTAATTGTAACTACAAGGTAATACATTATAACACTTATCAGTTCATTGTTACACTATGCATGTGGTTATAATTATTTATAAGATATAATGTATTACAACGCACATTATGAATAATTATAATGCATTTTAACCTTTAATAACCCTTTATAATACATTACCCATACATTTTACTTTGAGTCAAGTGTTACCGAAATTGCTAGTAAATTTGTACAAAAAATGGCAAGTAGCACATTGAATTGATTGTGAAATTTTGAAGTAGAAAGACAGAAATAGTATTTTCTTGTAAAAAAAAAAATCTTTATTTATAACCTCAGAAAAATCATGTTTATTTATTTGTTTGTTTTCTGTGAAGCTTTTTTGTACCATCTTAAAATATTCAACAACAGAAATTAAAATGTAAAAGCTATTTGACTAATACAGGTTTTTAAGTTATTATAAAATTCTATATTATTTTAACAATTTAAATCATCACATTATTTTTTTATACATTTTATATTACATAACTTTTATATTATATTATATTAAACCCTTATGAAATGGTCTGAAGGGATCCAGTGAGTGTATTCATATCTTAAGTTATAATCTATAGCACTCTATGTTTTTGTACTGGTAACAATATTTTATCAGGGGTGTTATCATCCCTCTCTCTCTCTCTCTCTCTCTCTCTCTCTCTCTCTCTCTCTCACACACACACACACAC